AAATTTGTAGTCGCTCCCACAAGCCAGGTATCATCTTAGCAGGTGGCTTCTCATCTAAAAACTGAGGGGCTTGACCAGGTGATTACTTGGGATTCTTTATGCTTTGTAGACTCCACTCAGCAGAGCCTCGTGGGTGACATCTATTTCAGTTATTTTCCTTGCTCCTTCAACCCCTCACCTGTCGTCTGTGGGGGGTGGCACTTTAGTTTCTGTATCTCCTGGCTCTTCAGACTCTGTGATCTGGCTGGATCTAAAAGGGAAGAAAAAGCTAGAAGATTGCAGTGTTCTGGGGATTGGCATTTCTCGTGGCCTGCCAGAACACTGCAATCTTCTAACTTTTTCTTCCCTTTTGGATCCAGAGAACAGAGAACTACAAGACCATCCATCATTGTGCCAGGATATACAAGACTGTTAAACGTGTCCACTTCCCACCCTCTGAGGATCATTTCTTAGCCTGGTTGTCAGAAAAAGAAACCTTGCCAAGGCTTTTATTTTTCTTTCTGGTGCTATATTTGCTGTGCCAAGGATGAAATATCAAGGTCATAAGGTACTAGGACTCAGAAAATCACATAGTAATAAAAAGAGAGGCTGAACCAAATAAAAGAAAATATGGGAAAGAAAGAGGGAGAGAAGAGAGGGTAGTTAAAAGTTATCCCAAAAAAAAACCCCAAAACTTAAAGATAAACTATCTTATGCTTTAGCTCAACTTGTCAAATAGGGTATTGGAAATACTAAATAAAGGGTTTCAACAGTGCGAAGCTTTGCTTAATTTGCGGAGGTATTTATGTTAAATGCTACAAAGTGTTGGCCACTCTTCATATATACAAAAGGGACAGTGTAGGCCACAGTGAAAATGACCTGTGTTGGCTTGCATCACTTGCTCTGGATTAGAGTTTGACTGGGCTGCAGCCCCAGTATTGTCCCAGGCAGGTTTACATAAATAACAGAGGATGTACTGGCTGCCAATTAGGGGTACAAGGTAGATCATGCAGCTGATAAGTGGTTAATAGTCTCATTCTACAAGGTGGAAGCAATCTCCCATGCGATGGCCCTGTGTGTCTCTCCTCCTACCTTAACTCCTCCCTGTGCTGGAAGGGTCAAGGCAAGTTTGTCTTCCTGTTAAGTCTTGTCGGGGAAACTACAGTTCACAAGGGCCACTGCTGCGTTTGAATTAAAAGCACAATGGACTC